CCTACTAAACATGTCGTTAATTACTTCCTCTTTCACATCCACTAAACATGTCGTTAATTACTTCACTTTTCACACCTACTAAACATGTCGTTAATTACTTCCTCTTTCACATCCACTAAACATGTCGTTAACTACTTCACCTTTCACACCCACTAAACATGTCGTTAATTACTTCACTTTTCACATCCACTAAACATGTCGTTAACTACTTCACTTTTCACACCTACTAAACATGTCGTTAATTACTTCACTTTTCACACCCACTAAACGTGTCGTTAATTACTTCCCCTTTCACATCCACTAAACATATCGTTAATTACTTCACTTTTCACACCTACTAAACATGTCGTTAATCACTTCACTTTTCACACCTACTAAACATGTCGTTAATTACTTCACAAAACATCCTTACCATATTTTCATGTACAATATGTCATAAGAACAGCAGATTAAGCAGCCAGCAACTATGATTTTATTTGCCAAAAATACTACAATATTAATCCTGTTACAGTCTTACAACAAAGTAACCTTCAGATAATTCTGTTCATACTTACTTTAAAGCCTGAATGATAAAATCAAACAACATGATAAAAGTTAACAGTACAAATACTAACAATAATGATGATATCAAACAACATGATAAAAGTTAACAGTACAAATGCTAACAATAATGATGATATCAAAAAACATGATAAAAGTTAACAGTACAATTACTAACAATAATGATGATATCCAACAACATAATAAAAGTTAACAGTACAAATACTAACAATAATGATTATATCAAAAAACATAATAAAAGGTAACAGTACAAATATTAACAATAATGATGATATCAAACAACATAATAAAAGGTAACAGTACAAATACTAACAATAATGATGATATCAAACAACATAATAAAAGTTAACAGTACAAATATTAACAATAATGATGATATCAAACAACATAATAAAAGGTAACAGTACAAATATTAACAATAATGATTATATGAAACAACATAATAAAAGACAACAGTATTTACTGATGATACAAATATTAACAATAATGCAACTACTCCTGGGTATTCATTAGCCCTAAACTCCACTATAATGTTATAAAGTGACGGTCATTCCCACTATTCGTTCGTAAAGAGTTGCCAAAGATTTGGGGGAGGTGTGTTGACTAGCTGCCTTCACTCTTGTCTATCACTGCTGAATTAGGGACAGCTAGCGCAGATAGCCCTGGAGTTACTTTGCGCGACATTCACACCAAACCTCCAATTTCACTTCGTCGTGTATGTAAGCCACTGAACGACCCCAATGATAGTTTCACCTCAGAATTCGCAGATGTTGTAGCAATCTGGAAGAGTTCCCAAGCATCCCCCATAGCGGCCATAAATCTACAACGTTCTTTAAATAAAATAGCAGAATACTGCCAAAAAATAATTAAGATTAATATACCAAAAACTCAAATATTCGTACTTGAAAATTTGAAGAAATTCCTCAAAACTAATCCAGAACTATATCTCCATGGAACACTCCTCAAAACTAACCAAGAACTATATCTCCATGGTACACTTCTCAAAACTAACCCAGAACTATATCTCCATGGAATACTCCTTAAAACTAACCCAGAACTATATCACCATGGAACAATCCTCAAAACTAACCCAGAACTATATCTCCAAGGTACACTTCTCAAAACTAACCCAGAACTATATCTCCATGGTACACTTCTCCAACTAACCCAGAAGTATATCTCCATGGTACATTCCTCAAAACTAGCCCAGAACAATATATCCATAGAACACTCCTCAAAACTAACCCAGAACTATTTCTCCATGGAAAAACTCCTCAGAACTAACCCAGAACTATTTCTCCATGGAAAACTCCTCAGAACTAACCCAGAACTATTTCTCCATGGAAAACTCCTCAGAACTAACCCAGAACTATTTCTCCATGGAAAACTCCTCAGAACTAACCCAGAACTATTTCTCCACGGAAAAACTCCTCAGAACTAACCCAGAACTATTTCTCCATGGAAAACTCCTCAGAACTAACCCAGAACTATTTCTCCATGGAAAACTCCTCAGAACTAACCCAG